CAGAGGGAACTTTTAATATGCACATTAGACCTTGTCACTGTTCTACTAAAAACCCAGTAGTGGTTCTCATTTTACTAAGAGTAAAATCTAGAATCCTTAGAATGGTGTACAAATCCCTTCATGGTATCTCACAATAATCCCTTTCCTCTCCAACCTAATTGCCTACTACTATTCTTGCTCCTTGCTCGTCCAAGAACATGTCAGACATGCTCCCAATATTTCCTTTGCCTTGAAAATGCCTTGTTGGTTAATGGAGTCCATATGGCTAACTCTTTGCCTCCCTCAAGACTGTTCATATCCAATCTTCTCTAGTAAGTCCATGCTGACACACCACTTAAAGTCGGGAGACCCAGCCTCAACTGAATACTCTTCACTGTGTGCACTTTTTGTTTTTTTCTTTCCTTTTTGTTTTTCCAGAGAACCTACCACCTTCTAGATTGCTATAAAATGTTTGTTTATTGTTGGCTGATATTTCCTTTTAGGAAAATAAAAGCACCACAAAGACTGACATTTAGCTCACTAAAGAACCCAAAACCTAAATAAAAGGGTCTACAAAAGGGAGGCATACATATCAATCTGTTAAATCAATGAAATGCCTCAAAAGGGTAGGATATAAAAACTTACTTGTTATTCCTATTGAAACCCACACAATTTTTTCAATATTTTCCATCTCCATAGTGGTCAAACCAGTCACACAGATGCCCAAGCAAAAGGCTTAGAAACCATTCTAAGCTGTTCACTCTTCAAATTTTCCCACAGCCAATTCATCACCAAGGCTACCAAAATTACCTCTACTTCCAAAATAGGATCCCTTCTTTCCACTCCCACTGCACCAATTTGAACTTTTTTTGCCTCAGTATATCAAGTACACAAATAAGCTTTTTTCTTTGGTATAACCAAGGCCATCTAATGGCCTAATGAATTTTAGATAGAAATGATGGGTGACAGAAATGATGGAGAAACAGAAAAAAAATGCTTCAAAAGCAGACTCTCAAAAGTCAGCAAAACTGTTAACAGAAGGAATAAAATTATTTAAACTCAATGCATTAAACTCAAGTGAGGTTTAAATTTTTCTCATTACATTCTATGTTGTATTTTGTCCTGTGCATTAAGAAGAAATGAAGAACCTAAAAACTCTCAGGACATACATCTCAGAAACATCTTTAAAGACTCATCCCTGAAACAAAGACAGTAAAGGAAAAGATAAACAATTGGGGCTACATCAAACTAAAAAGGTTCAGAATAGCAAAAGAGACAACAACCAAAACAATGAGAAAACCTACTGATTGGGAGAAAATATTTGCACTTCACACAACTGATAAGGGATTGAGTCCAAAAATCTACAAAGAGCTCACACAACCCAACAAAAACAAAGCAAACAATCCAGTCAAAAGATGGGCAGAAGAACTAAAAGGACTTTTCTCCAAAGAGGAACTGCAAATGGCCAACAGATGTATAAAAAATGTTCAACATCAGTTATAATCAGGGAAGTGCAAGTCAAACCACAATGAGGTACCACCTGACATCAATGAGAATGACACATATTAAAACAACTAGCAACAACAAATGTTAGCGAGGGAGTGGAGAAAAAGGAACTCTCCCATAAGGCTGGTGGGAATGCAAACTGGCTCAATCACTATGGAAAGTTAAGTGGAGGTTCCTCAGACTAAAAAATGGATCTAGCAACTCCACTCCTAGGAACTGACCCAAAGGACACAAGAACATTAATTTGAAACGAAACCTGCACTCCTGTTTATTGCAGCATTATTTACAATAGTGAAGATTCAGAAACAACCTAAATGTCCCAAAACAGATGACTGGATCAAGAAAATGTGGTATATATACACAATGGAATACTACTCAGCAATCAAAAAAGATAAACTCATGCCATTTGTAGCAATGTGGATGGAGCCAGAGGGGGTTATGCTCAGTGAACTAAGTCAGAAGGGAAAAAGAAAAATATTGAATGGTCTCACTTAAGGAGGAATACAGGGGAACTGGCCAGGAGATCTGGGGAAAAAGAAGACAAAGCTAGCAGGCAAGTATATATCAGAGACATTTAGCAAGAGAGTGGGAGAGAGGGGGATTAAAATAAGAGTAGGAAGAGCACAAGAGATTATGGTAATGGCTCAAGGATGACTTGGTGGTGGGAATTTTATGAGGATTACACCTGAAAGGAGAAAAGCAAATTGTATAAAAATAATGATATGAAATATATAAAGAAATAAAGTGAAATGAAAAGCCTAGAAAAGCAATTTTTTTAAAAAAATAAGTAGATACAGTACTACATTTGAGGAAATAAATAAAAAGTATTCAAGATAACATCTGCCTTATGTACACCTAAATGCAAACTAAGCAAATACTCCCTGTAATATAACTGTTACTTGTACTGTGTAGGTTCCTGGCAGAGGTAACACTAACGTGGTTACTATGAAGCTTTTTTGAGATCACAGACTCCTCTGAGAGGCCAAAGAAATCTTGATCCTAGTCTAGAGGAAAACATCCAGCTGCACATATACATCTAGCATTTTAAATTTTCGAGGGCAGTTACAGGGCCCCTGTTGTCTGTATATATATATATATATATATCTTCCTAGAGATACGGGAACCCAGCTGTAGAATGATGTCTTTTAAATAAGAGGACAAAGCAAATGACATAAAATTCCCCAGAAGTAAACTGTTAATACTATAGATATTTTTCCTTAGGCATCAAGTAAATTAAAAAACACAGAACATAAAAATCTCTATTGTTTAAATTTTATCAAATGATACACACTCAGGCTAAGTTAAAAATCCATGCACATACCTAAAATATATTTGAAACCTAAATTAAAAAAATAGTATCTAGTATTAAGAACAGTAAAAACAATTAATAGTTAACGAGTCTATACTCTGTACTGAGTGCAGTTGTGGGTACTTTAAATATATCTCTATTTCTATATAAATGTAAGTAATTATCAAGCCCATTTCATAACCAAACACAGCTACAAAGAGAAGGAACAATGACATGAAACAGAAATGATTAATAAGATTAAAAAAATAAAAATTCCGGCCCTCCCTGGTGGCGCAGCTGGTTAAAGCACAGCGCTGGGAAGCTAAAGCCACTTCCACATGAGTTCAATTCCCGCCTGCCACGGAGATGACCACATGGCGTGGCAGACCTCTCCTGGCCCGCCTGCTGCTCCCCTCAGCAGTGTACTTCATAGATCTGCCTTTTCTGTTCCCCACTCTGTCTCTGGTAGAGCCTCTCGCCACCCCTGAGCCTCTGGCCTGTACCCCAGTTCTGTATGCACAAATAAATAAATCTTTAAAAAAAAAATTTAAAATTCCCTCTGTAGTGTACACCATACTAGTAACAACTTAGACCTGGTATTTGTATAACTGTAGTTCTACAAAGCAAGAACATATTGTCCAAACTCCAGAAGGATGACAATCTTGATCCTTTTGCATATTCTTGCCAACATAATCCTTATAATACCATGTTCACTTGAGTACTCTCTAACTAAAAATGTGAACACAAAATGGTCAAAAAGAGCCAATACTAACTAAATGATTTATAAGATTCATTTTATAAATTAATTTTGAGGGTAGCGAACCTAGCTATACTTAAAATACTATCTTTTGCATAAGTACCAGTATAAATCATGACTTGAAAGGAACTGGATAAAAATAAAATCTGAACAGGGTATTGTTTTCTCCTAAAAAAAAGTTCAAGTTTCCCCTATTCTCAAACTGTTTTTCAAGATTCTCCCCTTTTGTTAACATCTTAGTGCCTCCTTCACTCCAGAACAACCAAGAAAACCTTCCAGGTTCGAAGTCTTTTTCATTCCCATCATAAAATCAGGAGACATATGTCACATTCCCTGGTAGGCATATGCCATGCCCCGCACACTAGAGACACAGAAGCTATCCACTGAATGACTGAATCTTCTCCAGCAGGAAAAACATGTGTTTCACATTTTCTACTTCTCATAATACTACACCATAACTTATGGTATCAAAATAATGCAATAAAGCAAATATTTTACTACAAAGCATATGATAGAAAATCCATTATTTACCATTTTGTTAGTTCTACATCCAAGTCTGAAGAAAGAAAAAGACTAAGTTTCTTAGACCAGTTTATGCTACTGGTGGCCCAAAAAAATGATCCACAAAAAAAATGATCTAAGCATATCCGTTCCTTAGAATAATGCCATTTTTAGCATACTCTAATTCCTTAGATCTTTCTTTATAACGCCCATGAAGATACTACAACAAAATCAAACAAGCTTTTTGTATTAGATAAGAGAAACTAGCTCCGCTCAAATGAAGTGGCCTGCTGCTTTAACAATAATAGTCTAAATCAGTGCAGGATAAAAACCAAGCAACAATAAATACAAATATACATTCATGCATATGCCACAAAAAAGTTCCCTTTGTATTAATTAAAAAATTGAACCACTTCTGATTTACTGAATTGTTAATATATCTCATCATAAACATAATTCAAAAACTATACCATTTCTTGGAAGTAAATACCAATTAAAAGAACTTACTTTCCATGTATTAAAGAGGCCTTCTTATTATAGAAAATAAACAAGAGCAAAATTTCAGATTAAAATATTCCCTAATATTAGTAATATTTTATGAAATACAACTTAAGAGTTGCTGAATATCAATTTACCAAAACAGGCAGGGATGACCTTATCTTGGCAAAACTCACAGTACTGTTTCTTCAACATCTTAAAAGACAGCTTGATGCACAACACTCTTCCATCTGCTTTGTTCTATTTCTTCACGTCCCAAATGGAAATTAAACCCTTAGAGTAACAGCCAAATTGTATCAATCACAGGAAAATACTTATAGCAGATAAGTGATGATGTGAATAACATGAATAATGGGGGTAGATAGAACAATAGGTAGAAAAGCCTTGGTAATGACCTTTGAGTATATGTTGTGAAAGAAAATCTATATAACATGAAAAGGAATTACTTTAAATAATTCTATTCCCACTTACCTGATGAGCTCTCGGTAAATACTGTCAATGTCTGTCCTCCAACGCTTTGCAAGACAAATGGATGTTCTCTAGGAGCACTGACTGAAGCTGGTTTTCCACCAATATCATGAATATTTGCTAGATCCTCATTCAAAGTAAATGACACCTGACAGACATATTAAGCAGAGCTTATTAAATACATTATTATAGTCAATGTATCTGTACAGAAATTTTGATATAAAACACATTTTTAAAAAATGTGAACATTTTCATCATTTTATTAAATACTTTTTTTTTAAAGATTTATTTATTTATTCATACAGAACTGGGAAACAGGCCAGAGATGCGGAGGGTGAGAGGCTTCACCAGAGACAGAGTGGGGAGCAGAACAGGAAGATCAACGAAGTACACTGCTGAGGGGAGCAGCGGGCCGGTCAGGAGAGGTCTGCCGCGCCATGTGGCCACCTCCGGGGCAGGTGGGGATCGAACTCATGCAGAAGTGGCTTAAGCTTTTTAGTGCTGTGCTTTAACCCACTGCGCCACCAGGGAGGGCCATTTTATTAAATACTTTTAAAAAATTTTACCAATAAGTCCTTCATACTTACTCATAAAAAGAGAATCTATTCCCATTTGTCAGAATACTGGGACTATTCTACCATTATAGATATAGCCAGCTTTCAAATGTTACTCCAGTCTATGGTTGAAGAAAATCTTTCCAAAAGGAATACAATTATTTTTATCTAAGTTCTTTGAGGTAAGGGATCATGTCTTGTTATATACACTTATAATTTTAAATACATAGAGCCTAGCAAAGTGCCTGGCACACAGAAGGAACAGTATTTGCTGAATGAGAGAATTTTTTTTATACTCATAGTAACATTTTTTCCCCCACTGTCTGGAATTCTTTCTATTTTTCTTATTGAGGCAACATTGGTTTGCAATGCTTTATATGACTGAAAGGTATAGACAGGATCACACCTTTCACTTATCATATCACATCCACCATTAAGGAAGCCACTGTGCCTCTTCCCACTTTGCTCTCCACCCTCTCTCTCTGGTATTCTCAATTCTATAATCAGATTTCTAGTGCTTGTTGTAGGTCAGACTTTATTTCACCCTGCTTTGTTTATATTCCACATATAAGTGATACCATAAATATTTGTCTTTTTCCTTTTGACTTATTTCACTTAGCATATTCCCCTAAAATTCTATTTATAGCAAGAATTTTTCTTTTTAATAGTTGATAAGTATTTCACTGTGTAAATACATTACATCTTCCTAATCCTCTCCTTTGTATTTGGGCACTTAGGTTGTTTTAATAGTTTAGCTATTATTAAGTTGTGCTGCAATGAACATAGGAAATATATACATCTCTTCAAATTAATGTTTCTGTACTCTTCACATAAATACCTAGGAGTGAAATGGCTGGGACATATGGTAGATGTATCTGAGAACTCTCTGTGTTGTTTTCCATCAGTCCACATTCCCACCAATAGTATACAAGAGTTTCTTTTTCTCAAAACCCTCACTAATACTTCTTTTTGGTATTTTTGACATGGGTCATGCTTACAGGTACAAGGTATCAGTACATTGTAGTGATTTGATTTGTATTTCCCTGGTGATTAGCAATTGGAGAATTTTTTCATGTACCTACTGGGCATCTGTATGTCTTAGAAATGACTATTTAGCTTTTCTGCCCACTTTTTTGATTGGGTTATTTTGTTTTCTTTTTGTTGGGCTGAATGATAGATACTGGGTATCAGCCCCTTGGCCAGATGTATGGTATATAAATAATTTCTCCCTTCCAGCAGAATGTCTTTTTGTTTCAGTGATAGTTTCTTTCACTGTACTGGAGCTTTTTAGTTTCATATAGTCCTAAATGTTTATATTCATTTTTGTTTCTCTTGCTGATGGACACAAATCCACAAAGACATCACTGAAGCCTATGCTATTGAGTGCTTTATCTGTGTTTCTGTTGATGTATTTTATGGTTCCAGATTTAATATCCAAGTCTTTAATCCACTTTGAATTAACTTTTGTGTATGGTATGAGATAGTGGTTTACTTTCATTCTTTTGCATGGGCTGTCCAGTTTTCTCAACATCATTTATGGAAGAGACTTTCCTTTCTTCAATGTTAGCATCTTTGTCACAGATTGACAATCTACTTAAATGTGGGCTCTCAATTCTATTCCATAGCTCTGTGTGTCTATTTCTGTTTCAGTACCCACATTGTTTTGAATATTTTTGCTTTGTAGTATAACTTGAAGTTGGCAATGAAATACAACCTCTGAATTAGTGAATATTTTATATGTATTAAGAAAATAATTGTATTTGGAGAGGTGAAATGAGCTATGTACTCAAAAAACTAAAAAAAAAAAGGATAGTTTTTTTTTAAGGTCTTAATAACTACAGTACGAGTACATGGTGCTAATTTAATATTCTAACAAATACAACTAAATATTTATAAAGATAACAATAATGAGGTTTAGAATAAAAAGACATAGCAGGTATTCTTTCAAAATAATTTTACTAATACCAGACCTCCCAACATCAACTATAACATCAAAGGAACTTATAAAATACTAATTTTCCAAACATGCATTAAGATTATAAAGTATTTGTTAAATATCTCTATGTAATAGGTATTGCAAATTATGTCCAAGACATAACTTCATGGCTCATTTTAACCCCACAAGACTCCAAATCAAATGCCTTTGCCACAATGAAATAATACTAAATTACTGCTGAAGGAATGCTAAGTTTCATCATACTGAAAGGGGATATTTAGGACCAAATATGCTGAGAATGAAAAACGATAAAGGAATCTATTCATTCACAAAAGAGTTTTACTTATACCGTTATGTGTATGATATGAAGTTTTCCAGAAAGTAAATAGCATTTTCTCTTTATTATTATGAGTACATAGTAAATACTCTCATTTTTAATCATTTTTTCATAGAAATAATCTTACCTCAGTCCTTCCTTGATTCCTAAAAAAGAAAGAAAATTTAATTATTTAGATTTCATGTTTTTTCAAATGTAAGCTAAGAATTAAAAAATAAAATAGTAGCTCATAGTATATAAAGTGACACATTTACAAAGATTATCGTATTTACTCTCAGTTTTCCTCAAGGAAAAACAAGCCACATGAGTTGCATATGATTACTTTAAATGTTACATTTCTGTCAATTAGCACTATCTTAGAATGTACTATTTTACCAAAATCATGATTTTTATTATTATTTCTGAATACTTTTAGCATCTAGCAGAATATGCATGGTTATTTAAATCTAGATGAAAAAGTACTTCAGCAAATTTTACTATCTATATTATCTAGCTGAAGATGATTCCTTTACTTCCTAAAATCTTATGGATCAAAAATTATTAAAGTTAACAATTTTTTATTTTAAATATTTTTTCTCCACTATAAAAACAATATATGCTCCTATGAGAACATTTTTCACACAGTCAAAGCCAAAGGTTTTTAAATAACCATAATTCCACTTAACATCTTAGTATAATGCCCTTCCAGACTATTTTCTCTATATTTCAATAACATGTTTTTAACAAATGTAGAATCAACATATATTCTATATAACAGCCTAAAATGAAAACATGGAAACCTGAAAGAGATAAGGAGAGCTTCTTCGTGGAAGACAACAAAGGGAGCAGCACCAAAGGGTGCAAAAGTCCACGTGGGGGTGAGGAAGTGTTGTGGAACAAGTAACAAGAGGTCTGGACAAATGACTGAGTATATTAAGGATGTTTCTCACTTGCAGATAGGAAATACAAATATGCAAAGGAAAAGACTGAAACGCATGCTTGTTAGTGGGAATAAAATTAGATCGGGTACGAAGTCATGTTTGTAACATATGTAGACATAGAAATAAACAGATGTAGAAGTGTGTATATACATATACTACTTAGCTCAGCCATTGGAGAGGACCTAGGAGCAATAATAACACTGGCTATTTAGACCTCAGAATCTAAGTACTAGTCTCTAGAAAGCAACAGCATTTCTCCGTGGAGAAATGCCTGACTCCATGGCTCACACAGAAATGTGCAAGAGAAGTTTAAAACCCTTTCCCATGTCAAAAAGTAAGTGCTCAAAGAATGACAAAAACAAATAAAAAGGAGATGGAAGTTAAGCTACTGATAGGCTTGTGCAGCAGCAGTCAGCTAGAAAGAGCTCACACTAGCTAAATTTTGGCTAATTTGAATATCAGAATATATGATGATAGTAACAACTTAGGACACACTGAATAAAACTGGAATCTATGAGCTCACAAACCACAAATAATAAGTTAATAAAAGCGAAATTCTGATGAGGAATAGACTATTTATACAGACTCAAAGTACACCTCACAGAACACTTAATAATTACGAAAAATGAGATAATAGTACATTTACAGTGAAGAAGTTTAAAAGACAATTCCTAATCAAAACTACCTCACCAGAAATGGTGAACTAAAACATGTGAACCTTGTAAGGAAACAACATGAACCCAGCTTTATTTTTTGATATTCTTGCCAAAGATGAGTAATGAATCTAATGAAGAAATATGAGAATAACTAAATGTTATAACTATCTTGGAAACATCAGGACTGTTGACATGTATACAGTATACAAGTCAAGAAAAGGCTTTCAAATACTCAGATTTAAAGAAACTGAAAGACTTGACAAGTGAATTCCATGCAAGACCATGGACTGGATCCTCAGTAAAACATTACTGAGACAAGTGGCAAACCCTGAGTAAAGTCTAAGGACTAGACAGGGTGCTATTTGATTCCAACTTACTGATTTGGAGGAGTACATTTTGATTATGTAGGAGAATGTCCTTGTTAAAAAAAAAAAGTGTTTTATACTGTTCTTTCAAATTTTCTGTACCATGAGATTATTTTAAAATAAAAATATCAAATAATTTTAAAAATCTGCCCAGTTTAATGAATCCCTTTTTAATTCTTACTAATTTTTCTCTATAACATACTCCTGAAATGAATATCCTGATAGATCAGTCTTTGTATCTCTAACTTTTTACTTTCATAGTGTTCTTAGAAATTGATGGAACTGTTGGGTCAAAAGCATGGAATTTTCATCATTATTCATTTTCATAGTCTTGGCATTAATTACCCCAGTGTCCCTCTGCTGGATGAGTTTCTCTGTGTTTTGTACAAGGGTGGCAGCACCAGGAACTGGACATAATGCCCGCTCTGTTAGCAAGTTGGCAGAGAAAAATATCAAAGCTGTTGCTCTTTGTTCTGAACCACAATGTGTTGTGTGTATACCTTTGTAGATATCTACATATACACATTATCAGGTTGCCCTACAAAAAGTTTGCATCAGCTTACTTGTTTCCACATTTCTTATTATAAATGGGCTCCCATGACTTGTAATGTTAAATGTGTTTAAAAATAAAGTCAGAGGCCCTCCCTGGTGGCGCAGCGGGCTAAAGCACTGCACAAAGAAGCTTAAGCCATTTCCGCATGAGTTCGATCCCCGCCTGCCCCAGAGGTGACCACATGGCGTGGCAGACCTCTCCTGACCCGCCCGCTGCTCCCCTCAGCAGTGTGCTTCATCGATCTGCCTGTTCTGCTCCCCACTCTGTCCCTGGTGAATCCTCTCACCCTCCACATCTCTGGCCTGTACCCCCATTCTGTACGAATAAATAAACAAATCTTTAAAAAAAAAATAAAGTCAGAAACATAACGTTTCTGAAAGAAGTCATATTGCTACAGCCTGCAGTAACATACATCATATATGAAATATTTCAAAAGCCAGTTTATTAAGGTAGGGTGGTGGAAAAAGGTTCATTTTAACAAATGAAAATTTAACAACCAAAAGCAAACTATAAACTAAAATCAGTACATTCCACAAACCCAATGGTATAAAATAATCTAAATCCAAGGGTTAGGCATAGCACATAGATTGCTTGACAAAAGTGGTCCAAATATTACAGTTATTAAGATAGGCTCTTATTCTCATCTTATTCATAACTGGATCCTCTACTCAGGCATTAAAACAGAATCAAATTCAGGAAGAACTGCAGTTTCTTCCTTTCCTAATTCCTGCACTGCACAGCCCTGTTTCTGCTGGAACAATCAGCCACACACTTACATTTTCCCAGCGGCAACACAACCGACTGCTGCTGTATACCCCCAAGTAACATGATGGGGTGGGGGGCTGTACCCACATGACATCAGACATAACACAGCACCTACTATCGGGACTGTGCTGTGTGTGATGATAGATGAACATTTATTACCAAGTATTTCATATTCAGTGAGACTATAAGGTATTAATATCACCTTTTTTCTTTAATAAATGAAGAAGCAAAGAGAGTAAATACCTTACCCAAAGTCATATAGCTAGAAGAGACAATGACAGGGTAAAATCCAGTGCTGGTAAAATCCTTAATCCATACTTATAACCACAATGCCAACTGCCTTCCTAAAACCTTAGCTGTTTTTTTCACCCATGTATGCTTATTTAATCACATGGATAGTCCATAAACTGGTTAATCTGCCTCTAATAACAATAGTTGATTGATCATACATCTTCTAGTATTAAAAACACTTTAAGACAATTTCACCTCATCAATCAGCTCTTAATTGCCACAGTACCTTCGAGGACACTGGCTCGTTAAGTTTTCTCATTATCTTAGTCTCACATCACTGAGTGAACGTATTTCTCCATGTCTCTTAATCGTGGTGCTAAGAACTGAACATAAGCTAAATAGGAGAGTGGAATTTTCATTCCACTTCAAGCATCTAATAGTAGAGCCTTTTGTTTACAGCCACAATAACTGATGACTCGTTTTTAGTTTATAATCATCTAAGATCCTAATAACCTAGTGGCATGAACTGATAAGCCATTCCTCACTCATCCTGCACTTGTTTAATAGTTAATATAGCAATTCAGCAAGAGGAATGATGTCTAACTAGTAATATAGACAAGATACACAAGACAATATAGAATCAGGAGACCCACTAGGAAATAAGCTGTTTTTAAAGTATGTTGATAGCAATCTTAGGATGCTGGTTACTATAAATATGTTCTTATCCTTAAAAGACTCTAGATCTTCTACAGGACAAGAATGATTATGTATCATGTTAATATTTGCTAGATAAGGTGACCCCTCATCAAGTCTAAGGATTCGGAATGAGTGAAACAGAATAACTTTCTATTTTTATTTAGCATGAAAGTAATTTTTTTAAAAAAGATTTATTTATTTGTACATACAGAACTGGGGTACAGGCCAGAGGCTCAGGGGCGGCGAGAGGCTCCACCAGAGACAGAGTGGGGAGCAGAACAGGCAGATCGATGAGTACACTGCTGAGGGGAGCAGCGGGCGGGTCAGGAGAGGTCTGCCATGCCATATGGTCACCTCCGGGGCAGGCGGGAATTGAACTCATGAGGAAGTGGCTTTAGCTTCTCAGTGCTCTGCTTTAACCCGCTGTGCCACCAGGGAGGGCCGAAAGTAAATTTTTTTTTAAAGTTAGAGTTGGTATTTTAGGCAAAAAGATATCTAGACTCTATACTTAGGAGGAGCAAACAGGAAAAATTTAAGACTTAAAAATTTTCTCATTATGTTTTTTCTATTACACCTTTGGAACTACAGCCCAAAAAAATAAAAGACCAAAATGGTTATTGCTTTTAAATTTGCTTAGCAGTTTTTCATTTATTGATTCAATAAAAAGGTATTGGGAGTCTTCTGTGCCAGACACTGTTTAGAGCCTGGAGATACAGCCAATAGGACAAAGATCCTGACCCCGCGCAGCATATACTCCAGCAGGAGAGATGAACAATACACAACAAACACATACACAGTATCCCAGATGGCACAGTAGAAGTTGAACAAGTATTTACTGACTGCATGGAAAAAATGGTGGTAAGTGCTATAGGGGGAAAAGAAGGAGATAGAGAATTCAGAGTATTATTTTATATAGGGTGGTCAGAAAATACCTCCCTGACCTGACAATGTGAAAATATTTGTAAAGTGTGTAGAGCAAATCATGGAGATATCCAGAGGAGAGAAAGCACAGAGGAATAGTGACTATTATGTTTGAGATGCTTCTCAGACATCTAAGAGAAGTATCAAGAAGACAGTCAAATGAGTCTGGGGAACAGGGGAGAGGCTAGGCTTAAATACCAACAAGGTTATACTGTGAGACCACCTAGGAAGTAAACCAAAAGAAAAATAAGAAAAGAAGCCCAAGGGTCACAGAACAAATAGATACTGAGAAGATGAAAAGAAGCTAGGAACACAGAGTGAGAAGAAACAATCAGCTCTGGGAATGGAGAATCAAGAGACTGGTATCCCACTTGTAGTGGGGAAAATGTGTTTAAGGATAGAAATAATCAATTATGTCACATTCTGTTGAAGGCTAGTTAAGAAGAGGGCTAACTGACTCTTAGATTTAGGAATGTGGATATGGTGTGTTGCAAAAGAGGACTACAAATCCTTTGCAGTCACTCCTACCAAGAGGTGGAGTTGATAGCCACACACTTAAATCTGGGCTTGACAATGTGAGTTAACACTAGCCAGCAGGACTTTAGCAAACATGAGACAAGCACATTTGCAAAGTGCCTGTGCACTAGGCTTTGGAACCCTTTTTACCTTCACTTACATGAGCATACTGGAGATGAACCACACATGGCCATTTGCTTCAGTTTGTTAATAAGCCAACCCCTAGACACATAAGTAAGGCCATTCTGGCCAGGAAAACCAGCAAATCAGTTCCAACAAGAACTATAAAATTATAAACAAATAAAATGGTTTTTGTCCTCAGTCACTAAATTTTGGGGTGGTCTGCTATGAAGCAAAGCTAACTGATAAAGCAGAGGATACTAATGATAAAAGCTGTTTCAAGGGAATAATAGGCATAGAAATCTGATTAGATTTGAATTAAGAATGAGTAGAGAATCACATGTGGTGTTGTAAACCAATGTTAATTTAATTTAAAAAATCAAAAATGAATGGATGGGCAGGAAGAATGGAACACAAAGTCTCTGACTGAGACCACTTAAACTTTAGAAGTTTCCCTTTCTAAAAAGGTCTTTACTCAACCAAGAAAGTGCACTGTTACACTGTTTACTAGAGGTTCTCTCCCCACTTCCCAGTCTCTATAATATCAGCAACATAAGTAGCAAAATCCTTCTACTGAAACACTTGTTACATCCAATGATGCTCCAGGCAAGATGTGGAGAAGATGGTGCGATGCAGACTACACACTCAGCTACTTTCCTGTTGATAGGTTTCACCAACAAATTTGAATTTATATTTACACCGCCAGTGAGTGTATATAGGCACGCACACATGCACCAACTACTCCTTAAAAAGCACCTAACCAAGATTAGAAATGCTCATTACTTTCCATTTTCCAGGCAAATTCTCTATCTAGAAAAACAACAACAAAAACCAAACTATAATTATACTTAAAAACACTTGTAAAAAATTTGAAACACAGCTTCCAAAAATGTCAAAAATATGTAAATAACATACTTGGCAATCCGCAGTTTCCCAACTTCACCTCTTCCAGGGGCTTTAGTCCACTGCTGTGACAAATATTTAGGAACCTAAAACAAAGCAAGATATTAATAAAATTCTATTTTGGCAGCCAACAAATCTTTCTAAACATAAAAGAGACACACTACTTCTACTTTACTTTCTGCCTATAATAAATGATCATTAAGAATCAAGCACTCACATGTTTTGTACTATCAGGGAGACTACACCATGTATGAAAGGATTTTAGCTCTCAGAGAGCTTAGCATCAATGTAGTTGTTGACACAAAACTTACACTAGTCAAATAACCTGACAGTAATAAAGAGTAATGTTCCCAAACAAGTCCAATAAAAGTTCAGAGATGACAAAAGTTTCTTAGGAAAAAAATACTGACACGAAGTCTAAACACTGTGACTGAATAAACCACTGAATTCAAGATTTTTTAAAATCCAGCTTTCTTATGTATAAGATTGTAACTGACAAAAATTATCAAATACCTAAGATATAATAATGATTGCTTTCTTAACACAGTTGTAAGCATTTAACAAAGATCAACATTTAATTTTCAAACCTATTAATTAGGTAACTTTAATTGCCCCCATTTAAAACACTTTGATTCTCTAACATACATGGATTATATAATTTAGTCAAAATTATATAGTTAAGCAAATTATGAAGTCAGTGTTCAAAATCAGGTAGTCTGGCCCCCAGAGTCTGTTCTTAATCAATATACTATATTGTATCAATAACTAGATACATATAAAAGGGAAGGTATTAATTCTCACACATTCTTCTCCTAATAAATAGTTTGGACTGGAGAATCATTATGCACATTTAAGGTTGTGCTATAGGAGTGAAATACTGTTATAAAGCAGGAAATGTGATACCTTATACAAAGCAAGTGTCAATGAGTATCAGCTGTCAAATTTCCCACCATAATCCTGGAAATATATCATGAACATGAATGTATAACTGAGTCAAAGACAGCTATCAAATATGTTAAGGAAAAAATACTCTATCCAGCAAGATTTAATTTGCAAAATGGAGCAACTGATGATTATTCAAACAAGCTGCTATGCCTTGAATAAAAAAAAAGACCTAATTAGTATTTTTTCAATTATATATGCATTCTCTACCCAAAATTTATTGCACAACTAGCATGTGTCAGAAAATGCACTAGCAATTTGGAGGAGAGGAAGGAAAAAGGGAGTCAAATACCATACAAGGTGTTTTACATCTATTATCTCATTTAAAACCCCCCAAATACCCCATAAAATCATGATCATTCTCCTCATTCTATAAATAAGAAAACTGAGGCTCAGAAGTCTGAAATAACAGTTACTACAAGCAAGGCCTCACTTAATGTCGACAGGTCCTCAGAAACTGACTTTAAGTAAAAATAAGTTTAACGAAAGCAAGGGTCCCTGAATAAGATTATTTCCTTCAATATCAGATGCAATTTGTTTTTTTTTTTCTTTCTTATGTTATAACAAAATAACCAGGAACAACAAGAATCTGCTGTATCCTACAAAAGACTTGACTCCAGAATGGTGTGGTACTCTCTGTGCCAAGGCACTGAAGAGCATGTTGAGAGATAAGAGGGTTCTGAAGATTCCACACCTTAACAAAGTTTCAACTACACTGCACTGTGCTTATCATATCAGCTTGGAGGAATAAGCAAACTCCTTATGGTAAGTACCTATCTATAATTCCCTTCTATAGATGAGAAAACCCACTTAAACATACATAGGATTTGTTAATCCAAATAAATATAAACTCCAGATTTTGCCTTCAAGTGACTTGATAAATGGATTAACTGTTATTCTTCTACCATCTCTTTATCTCTTCTCTCCTTCATGCTGACTCACTCCTCTGACAACCGTCCCCTTTGTGTAACAAGAAAATTGAATCAGTTCCTGAAGAGTGTTCTTCTTTCCTAAAATCCCCCATAAAGATGTGATTGTCTTTCATCACTCAGACTATATAATTACCTAACAGCTTAAAACTTTCTCTTGCTTTGTTTTTGATTTTTAATCCCCGGGAAACCTTCATGTCAATTACTCTAATGCAAAAGGAAAACCGTTCTACTGATAATTTCACTCTTTCTCTGCAAAGTTCGCAGAGAAAGATGTCTTCATCATTTATAATAACACTGGTTTAAATGAGTCCTATATTCAGATACTTTAAGACCTCATTATGATTAACACTATCCCTTCTGTAATCTTTATTTCCAGCAACCATTCTGACCACTAGTTTTCTGGCTCTGTCCTCAGTACTTGGTGTCCAGTCATTATTCCATCCCTTTATGTCACTGCCTCTAATTAACATATTTTCACTGCTTCCCACCTGCTATGTTCTCAACGTCTCTCTTTAATGGACCTACATTTCACAGTTCATTATCATAATCATTTTCTTCTCCCATACAGCTCCATGCTACTGGCCCAGCAAAACACTAATCCCAATAAAAAACAATCTCTACTAATTAATTAAATAATAAATTTAGTTTTCATCTGATTGTGTAATTTCTAGTCCTCAATTAGTCATTTAAGACAGTGAAAGTAAACTTCACAATCATTATAGAGGTATACTACTTGCATAGGATGGCTAATAACATCAAGTAAGTCCTTTAAGATGCCTGACAACTAATTAAATCATTCTCCCACTATAGACGAATCAATTCTCTTCATTCCTCAAACCCAAACACCTCTGCCTTTCCCCTTCCTCTTCATGAATAACCTAACCCCTTCCATTGAGGAAAAGACAATCAAAAAAAAAAAAAAAGTCACTAAAACTACGGCTTAGACACAGCTGGGGTCTTCTACCTCATTTCCCTCTTACAACAATAGATGAACCATAGCCAACTCTACCACCGAAGCACAGAATTTCTTTACCTTTTGTTTAATCAAAGACATTTTTTGTTCAATTCCCTCTTTTCAGGTCAAAATGATGATAACAGCTAACACTGAGAGCGTTAATTTACTGTAGCGGGGAGACTAACATGCTCCCAGTCATCCCCACCTCCCGATACTCACATCCTGGTAGAGTGTCCTCTCCTTGCATAAATGCAGAACCTGTGACTTGCTTTTGTGAGGCATTATTGTGACACATATGGCAAAGGTATGGGATGTTGCTTCTATGACTGGGTTACATAAGATTGTGACTTTTCTCTTACTTTTTATCTTGTTTTCTTGGTCTGTACACTTTGATGAAGTAAGCTGCTAAAATGGAAGAGGTTCATTTGGTAAGACACCAATGGAAGGCTCCAGTCAACAGCTACAACTTGGGCTCCCAGGACAACTATGGAGAAAGTCTGCCAACAACAGGAGTTTGAAAACAGTATTTCCTGATTTAAGACCTAGCTGAACATGCAGGCCTGGCTGGCACTCAGCTGCAGCCTGTGTGAGGCTCTAAAGCAGAGGTCCAACTAAGCCACACCAGGAGTCCTGAGCCACAGAAACTGAAAAAGTAGGTGTGTTATTTTAAGTTACCAGGTCTGTGGTAATATGTCATACAGAAAAAGACAAACAGGGCCCTCCATGGGGGTGCAATGGCTTAAGGCATAGCACTATGAAGCTACGTGCAGCCACTTACAGCACGAGTTCGATCCCTGGCCAGGGAGCTGACCCACATGGCACAGAAGACCTTTCCTGACCCACTCGCTGCTCCCCTCAGCACTGTATTTCAGCAAATCTGCCTGAATGTTCTGCTCCCCACTCTGTTCCTGGTGAATCCTCTCACCTCCCACACCTCTGGCCTGTACCTCAGTTATGTATGCATAAATAAATAAATCCTTAAAAAAAAGATAAGTAATACATTAAATAACAAGCACTCTTCTAAATGTCTTAAATATAGTGACCACTGAATTGTCACACAGTACTATGATTTTTTCAATTTTACAAACAAGGAAACCACAAAACGGAAATTAACTGATTTCTCAAATTATACATATTATTCTTTCATCTACTGTTTCTCTGCCTCCTTACAGCAAGATTCCTTGACAGGGATGATGTGCTGACTGACTACAGTTCCTCCTCTGCCACTCTGTTTATTCTGGGCAGGCTTTCCTCCCCAACACTCTGCTGACTTGACGACCATTTACCAAAGGGCCCCCATATTGCCAATTCAACAATTCATACTCATCTTACATTCGTATCAATTGTATTTGAGAACTGTTTCCTTCTTCACACTCTTTCTTGCTTGCTCATCACATTCTCTCTTAATTTTCCTCCTATTGATCCAGACTCCTTTTGGTTTTTACATCTAGATTCTCATTTTCCTGGGTTTTTAACTTCAGAGGGTCCTTGTTTCTATGGCCATACTTGGGCTAATGAAATATCATCTAGTCTCATAGTTTTAAATACGATCAGTCTAATAAGAACTCCCAATTTATAGCAGGTCTGGAATATCCCCACAGACTCAATTTCTACAGCTGACCCCTTTTCAACACGTTTGAACTCTGTGGGTCTATATATAATTGGAATTTTTAAAATAAATATAGTTGGCCCTCCAACTTTGTAGTCTCTGTATTCATGGACTCACTCACTGAAGATATCATTTGGTTAGTCCATAGATAGAGAGGTCCAACTGTAAGGAACTTGAATATTTACGGATTTTGATATCTGCTTTAGGAGAGGTAGAATTCAGAAACCAATCCCCATCATTTACCAAGGGAGGTCTGTCTAACCTCAAACATTCCATCTCAATATTCAGCAGACATTTCAAATGTAAAATCTCCAAACTAGAATTCTTACTTCTTCTTCATAAACCTGGTACTCCTGCAAATTTCTTTATCTCCATGAAAATCAATTCCAATCTTCCAAGCACTAAGGCTAAAAACTTGGAGTTAATTTGAAGAGCTCCTTTTTTTCTCACATTCCACAGCCAACCAATTGACATGTCCTGTTAGCAAAACTTTCAAGTTATATCTAGAATCCAACCCCTTCTCATCAACTCCAGAGTTAACATCCTGGTCCAAGCTATGACTCTTTTTACAATTATGGTAACAGGCTCTTAATTGATTTGCTTGCTTCCACTCTTGCCATGAGTCCAGTTTATTCTCAATACAGAAGC